GGAAATGAATGATAAAGGCACAAACCCTATAGGAGTGAAGAAAGAAGTAGAAAATGGCAAACACACTTTTGGGAAGTTTGGCTATGAAGGCAAAAAAAAAAAAAAAAAGAATATTAGCTAGAGGAAAAACAGGTCTGGAGAAGGGTTATTTTAATATGAGGGGACCTTTGGAATGTTTAAATGCGGATAGAAAGGAGCCAGCGGGAAGAGAGAGAAGAAAAAACTGGCCGAGTGGAAAGAAATCCAGACTACCGGTGGAAGGGTTCTCTTGCATTACTGACCCGCCAACTTAATAGATATCCAGAATTCTGAGGTCTGGGTAGCTTCGGGTATTAAGTGAAGGGTTTTGTTGGTTGAGTTTGGTTTGGCTGGTTTTCTACACTAAAACCTTCCCTCCTCCGCCTTTTCTGGGTCCATCGGTCTAATCCCTCCCACCTCGCTTGCTAGAGAAACACACAGCCTATATTTACAAGCTTTTCCGGGTCGCCGAGAAGGGCCACGCACAGGATTGCGACCTCGATTGGAACCCGCTTCCCGAAAGGGACATGCGCAGAGAGGTCCTGGTCGCGTTTGAAGTGAGGCAAACTCTAAACCTTACGCAGGCGCGTTAGGTCCTAGTCGCTATGCGTGTGCTTGTGGGTGAGGGACTGCAGAAAGGGAGAGTGCCGGGCGGGCTTAGTCGGAGATTGAGCGCTGGGAATCCGCTTCCGGGAGGGCACTGTCTAGTGCACTGGTAACCTGGCCTTGGCCGCCTAGCCCGAGAAGCCGAATCTCCCTAATCCCTGTGACCTGTGTCACCTCTGCATCGCGGGGAGGGGGAGAAGTGGGGAGCAGTCTGGTGTCAGATGGGCTGGCGCCGGAAGAGGGGGGCCACAGCGGGGGCGAAAGGCGTCCCCACCCCGACTCCCCAGGAATATAAGCAATTTGTATTTTCCGATCAGGTGGCGGGACTGGCTTCATTGGGACAGCCCTAAGCCAGCTGCTGAATGCCAGAGGCCACGAAGTGACCTTGGTCTCCCGACAGCCCGGGCCCGGCCGGATCACGTGGGTAAGTCCATCCTCTGGAAGCGGGTGGGAGGGCAGAGTTGGGCGGGGCAGGGCGGGGCAGGGGCACTGTGTGCTTTCTCCAACAGGATGAGCTGGCTGCATCTGGGCTGCCGAGCTGCGATGCCGCCGTCAACCTGGCCGGAGAGAACATCCTCAACCCTCTCCGAAGGTCAGCCTGGGCCCTAAAGCTGATACCCACTAGAGCACAGGGAGGAGAGTGTACCACTGATGAGAACCTGTGAGCTAAGGGTAATGGAGCTCCCAGATTCTGAACTAAACCGATATCCCAGACTACTCATTCTGCTCCACTTCTCCACCCAGTCAGCCAATTGGCTTAAGTCCTCAGGTATAACTCAGGATGCCCAGAAAATGTATGCCCTTTCCCTCTACAGGAGACGTTGACTGTTTCTGTTAAGCCAAAATTCAGGGCTTTACTAGAAATGGGTATGAAATAGTTCCCAGGAAAAGATAGAGAGAGGGATATGTGCACCTATGTATTTAGTGGCTTTTTATTTCCCATGTTTCTCCTGCAGATGGAATGAAACCTTCCAAAAAGAGGTTCTCCGCAGCCGCCTAGAGACCACCCAATTGCTGGCTAAAGCCATCACCAAAGCCCCACAACCCCCCAAGGCCTGGGTCTTAGTCACAGGTGTAGGTATGCCCCCTAAATCACCAGCCCCTCATATTAGCCATGGGAAGGGGGTAACTCAGACCTCTGTAGCTGTGCACACACCCAAGCACTGGTTTTTTCCAGGCAAAATGACTTCCTAGGCCCTTGATCCATGCATGTTTCTCCTAACCTTTGTGTACCTTCACTAAGAAACTGAGACCCTGAAAAAGAGTGAGGAGTGGCATCACTCTTAGTGCCAGGGAAAAGTCCACCTATTCCAAAGTCCCTTACTTCTCACACCATAGTTCTTTAGGAACAGAGTTCCTGGTCACCTCTGGGACCAAATAATTGCAAACAATTATAATGCACACACCAGCCACTATTTGAAGTGTTTTATGCTTACTATCATTTATTCCTTACAACAACCCTATGAGGTAGGTACTATTATTCCCATTTTAAAGATGTGAAAATTCTATACAGAGAGGTTAAGTAACTTGCATCAAGTCACAGAGTTAAAAATGAGGGAGCTGATTAAAACTCAGGCAGCCTGGTACCCAAGTTCCTGTTCTTAACCACTACACTCTAGCAGCCTCTAAGTTTAGCCCTGCAACCAGAGTTCCTCCAGGGAAGGAACACTTCAGGTCCTGGAAAAGTTCAAGGGGAAAATATCCAAATGGCTCTGTCTCCAAATGGGGAGATCCTAAGGGCCAAAGAAGGTGAGGCCAAGGGAAGCCTCCACTACAGAGAGCCAGGCAGGACCAAGGACACCCAGGGCAAATGACTGTGTTCCACCGGCAGCTTACTACCAGCCCAGTCTGACTGCGGAGTATGATGAAGACAGCCCAGGAGGGGACTTTGACTTTTTCTCCAACCTCGTAACCAAATGGGAAGCTGCAGCCAGGCTTCCTGGAGATTCTACACGCCAGGTGGTGGTGCGCTCGGGTGAGAAACAGGGGCCTGGGTATCAGACAGGGTTGGAATGTCTTCTCTGGGCTGGGGAAGTGATGGGATTAGGAGAGCTGATGGGATTAGGAGAGCTGAGATTACAGAGTGAGAGGATGCTACCACTTCTAGCCAACCTGCAGATGAGAAGGTATGAAGTCTTAGAGAGCCATACTGCTCACTTCTGTTACAGAGCCAAGTCAGCATGGGGAGAGTGAGGAAGGGGAAACAGAAACCAGGAGGAGCAGTGGGGCTGCTTCAAGGCTGAGAGGACCTCTGTACCTTCCCTCTTGCCTGCTGTAGGGGTTGTACTGGGCCGTGGGGGTGGTGCCATCAGCCACATGCTGCTGCCCTTTCGGCTGGGCCTGGGGGGCCCCATCGGCTCAGGCCACCAATTCTTCCCCTGGATACACATCGGGGACCTGGCAGGAATCCTGACCCATGCTCTTGAAGCAAACCACGTGCACGGGGTCCTGAATGGAGTGGCTCCATCCTCCGCCACTAATGCTGAGTTTGCCCAGGCCTTGGGTGCTGCCCTGGGCCACCGAGCCTTCATCCCTGTCCCCAGCACTATAGTGCAAGCTGTCTTTGGGCGAGAGCGTGCCATCATGCTGCTGGAGGGCCAGAAGGTGATCCCACGGCGAACACTGGCTACTGGCTACCAGTACTCCTTCCCAGAGCTAGGGGCTGCCTTAAAGGAAATTGTAGCCTAAGTAGGTCATGGCAAGGGCCTGAGGCCTGTCCCTCATAGGCTTCCAGGTTAGGCACTATGAATAGGCTCAGCTCCTCTAGAGAGCTGAAGCCATCTGGTTCTTAGATTTCTCCCCTAGTCCTCTTTCCCATTGTTCTGTTGCTCCACCTTATTGTCTCAAGGCTGTAATCTCATCAGGTTGGGACATTAATCTTTTCAACTCCTTGCAAGATTTCCCAGTTGGGTTTCTCTACATGTCCTGCAGCTGCCCCACTTCTCCTTTATGCTGTGTAGAGAATGCTCTGCAGTTTAGGCAATAAAGATAAATTATCTTACTAACCTTGGCTCATCTCTCTGGCCTAGATTCACCTACGATTTACTTCAAGGAATGTCACCCTAGATGATTCTTCCCCCAAGACGGGGTTTTGAAAGTTATAATGGGCAGTCTCTCTCATCACCCTCTCCCTTCTTGGTCCTTCAGTTGCCAAAAGAGCTTGTCACAAGTTTGGGACATCTGGTTATGATAAAGGTAGGCACTAGAAGACAGAATGATGATCTATTTCCAGTGGGCCCTGTAGTCACCCTGGATGCTGTCAGAGTGCCATTAGAATGCCAGTAGAGGAAGAGGTGAGGCCCAGGTGTAGGATAGACTTCAGTCTGTGTCACCAAATGGCAAGTGCATTACTAACCACACAGTGGTCCCAGTTTATCAGGCTGCAGCAGAACAAAGCCAACATCCCTGTCTATAAGAAGCTTAGGACTTGCCTCTCATCTGACTGGGGCCACTCAAGTCAACCAGCGCCGTTAGCACAAAAGGGCAGAAGATACTTTTGGTCTACTGTACACCCACCATCACTGAAAGTGAAAAGGGCAAGATACCAATCAAGAACTATAAACAACCCTATCCGGAAAAAAAAAAACCTCCCAAGTTTTCATCTAAGACCCTTTTTACCTACCTAAAGCTGTGACATCTGCCATAACTTGATCAGACACAGTTCCCCCAGCCACCGGTTCAGGCCATATTAACCAGTCTCTTCTTCTCAGGGACCTCTGGGTTATCTCTGAATCACTGTCACCTCCTTGACCAGCCTATCTCCAACACACCTGCCCCCAGCCTGGGTCAGTATGGTACAGTGGTGAAAATCACCAAAAAGGGAGGGGTGAGGACACAAGGACCCAAGGACCCTCCCCATCATCACTACATTCTCCATGCAGTATTCAACTCCCTGTGCCATTCAGAGGGAGGCAAAAGTCACGGCCTGGAAAAGATCTTATCCAGAGACTCACCACAGGGCCCACATAGAACAGAATCCAGGGGCACCTGTCCTACTTCTTTATCTGGTCTTGGATTCCAGGAAGTTGACTGGCTCTGTATTGTTCCTGGGGGTATGAACAGCCTCAAAGGTAGACGTAACAGAAAAGCATACTTTAGGCTGCACTAAAGGAAGGAGTACTGATTAATACCGTCTACACAGGGAATGTGCTACCTTGGAGATAGTAAATTCCCTGGCACAGGAGGACTTCAAGCAGACCGAGGGCAATGACCTGTAGGAATCAGGGTGGAGACAGCATGTTAGTGACAGCAGAGTTGGTCTGGTGGCCAGTCAAGTGCCTTCCAACTCTGGTTATTTCATTTTCCAGATAATTGGTTCATCTAGAACCAACTGGTTCAACTTCCGTTAAGTCTTCCCATCCCCATACACACATACATAAAGCAGAAGTGTGCCTCACTTTATGCAACATATATCTTCCATAGAGAAAATGTTAGGGTTGGATCACATTAATATTGTCATTGCAGAGCATGGCTTCATCGATTTGGTGAAAAATCGATGTGTTCATCTCAACACCAGCAAGTGCATCTAACCAGGGATTTGCCAACAAATTTGTTAGTCTGTAAACAAACACTTGAATACAACAGGAGAGCTGCCATTTATAGGAACCCTGAGAGTATTCTGATAATGCAGTCATCCCTAATTTACCTATTGTATAAATGTGGATTTTGGAGGTTGCTCAAAAGGGATGCAGCCATTATAGGGCATGTTATAGTGAGAATGCAGTGTTAAAATCTAGGGTGTGGACCCTGAAGACAAAGGACCCACATCTCTCTGAAAGTGAGGTTTTGGTTAGAGAGCCTGTGCAGCCACAGGCAGACACACCTGAGACTTGGTCCAAGCACCTTTTCTCCAAGAAGCTTTCCTCTATGTTCTCATTTCTCCTCCCAACAGGTATTTTTACCACTGATTTGTAGGCGGAAGTAAAGCCCAAGCAACTCAATCAAGGTCACAAACAGGCATAGCTGAGACCAGAAGCCAAGTCTCCCTCTGCCTTCTTCACTAGCTCACTCCATCCTATCGTGGCCCCATCCACATAATGCTGTGGCCCTTCCAGGGCCCAGCGTCTCCTTCCACACTCCCAGGAGCTCAGCCAGGGAGTATCCTGTCCTCTGGCCATCCACAGCAGCAGCCAGAGAGAGGAACAGCTTAACTTCCTGTCAGTTCCCGCCCACCCTGCCCTCCACCCTGCCCTCCACCCCGCCCTCCACCCCAGCTCAGCTTGGAGGTGGAGCCAACAGTCTCAGTGTCCAGAACTAATCCTCTCCAGCAGCCCCTACTCCCTACAGAAACCCTGTGCTAAGGCAAAGTTGAGAAGTTAAGGCTGAGCAGAACCTCTTGAGAGCTGGCTGAGGTCCTCACTCGGTAAGATCAGGTCACTTTATGGACCTGTCCCAAAGTGGCTTCCCTGATCCAAAGCATCAACTCAGGGTGCCTCTGGATCAGAGTGTGAGCAGCAGAGGGACTCTCACAGAAAGGGCTGAGGTGGAGGCGGCTGGAGCTGACGGGGCGGCAACCACTCAAGCAGGTGAGGCTCAAAAGTTAAGACTGAGCAGGGCCTCAGACAGTTGGTTAATGTCCCGGCAGTATGGCTCCCGCTGCAGGATGAAGTCCACCTTGTGATCCTGACCCCAAAACACCTCCAGCAGCTGCCGCCGGAGCCGCTCTGTTTCCCGGGTCTTCCGAATGCCACCACTACCTTTTTCCTCTTCTCTCCCGTGCTGCTGTTTACCATGTTCTGCAAAGCCCCTGGAAGGATGCTGAGCCTTAGAAGACCCTTGTGTCCTAGGAAGAAACAGACCAAAAAGAGCTGATGAGCATCCTGGGGGGAAATTAGATCTTAGTGGGCTACCCCTCTCTTAATTGTCCTGCCTATTCTTGGCTTTGGGGGAGAAACCCTGAAGTTCCTGAAGCTGACCACTGAGTGGCAGTATCAACCCACTTCTGAAGGGGAACTGGGCCGTTCTTTTGGAACCAGGGTGAACTCTGCCACTATTATGATGTAGTTCTACTCCTAAATGAATCACTTATGTAATGGTCAGTAGAAGGCATGCTGAATACAACTGGATCTCAGTATAAGCAACCGTTTTCCAAATAACTCCATCAAACATGCTCATTAAGAGAAACAGGAAGCAGGTGTTTCCCTACCAGCAAGGAGGTTCTATGTCAGGATCCCCTGGGAAGCTTATAAAGGCCAAGGCAACTCAAACCACTGCAAAATTAAGATCACACTTAATTTTGCCCAAACTGATATCACACTTCCACCCAAGTCTCTGGGCCTGCTGAGAGAGGGCCAGGGGTGGGGGCTGCCTGCAAGTAGTCTAGGGGAAGGATTACCTGGCTGGCTTCTTCAGAAATTCATCCAGGGTGGGGCCGTTTCGTCCCAGTGGGTCATCAGGTACCATGAAGAGGTTTCCCACAAAGGTAAAGGGCAGCAGGCTGGATGGCGAAAGATATGTGGTCACAGAGGGGGCCCTGGCCCACCTCCCAGACGACTGAGACCAGTATCACCAGAAGCTGCTGGCTCCATCCTTCAAGAAAACTTCACCTGCTTCCCAGAGTTTTCACCCCATGGCCACAGCAGAGCTGGCTTTAGAAAAACATCTGCATCTGTGCCCAATTCTCAGCAGGAGGGCTCCCTCACCGTTCTCTGATGATTGCCATCCACTTCTCAGACTCCTCCGCCAGGTCCCGGAACTGGTCATTGGAGACAATTATCCCATCTGTCTCTTCAGCCAGCTTCACCATGAACCTGTCTCCAAAACCACAGCAACCAAGAGAGGGTTGAAAAATTACCTACTGGGTACAATGTTCACTATTTGGATCATGGTTACATTAAAAGCCTAGACTTCACCACTATGCATTATATCCATGTAGCAAAACTGTACTGGTATCCCCCAAATCTATAAAAATAAAAGGAAAAACCACAGCAACCATTTCAGACTCTCCAAGGCCCCAACCCCAGAAGTTTTACTGACTCCCATGAGTCACTTCTGATGATGGAGATCTGGCCCCCTACCTCACTTGACCCAGTTACAGGCAACTGACTAGATATAAGTGCCATGGGCTAGAGAGGAAACAAAGATGAATCCAAGGTGGTCTCCCAGTAGTATCCTATCTGCTCACCATAGTCCTTTACCCAACACTTTGTGCCACATTAGTGAACAGTAAGATCTAGCTCTGACTGTCTTCCACCCTGCCCAACCAATCCCTCACAAATCCAACATGCCCTTCCTTTGAAAAGCCTTTGTGCTCTGCTCCCTTCCTTCCCAGGACCACCATTAGCACCCCAGTAATTCAAATACTGCAACTGAGATCATGCATCACTTCCCAACAAGGGGGTCCCCACCTCTGACCACTCACCCACCCTCAAGTCTCCCCTGCCCTGCCACAAGAAAGCATGCTTATCCCCTACACAAAACTCTTCCACACTTGCCCTTTATTTACCAAATAAAGTCTACACGCCCAGGCCTGGCAGCTAAGGCCTTCTACAGTCCAGCTCAAATCACCCTTACAGCCTTCTCTCTCCCAATATTCCCTAATCCACTCCCAACTCCAGCTAAAATCAATAATCAGATTACACTCTGCTCTCCACATATGTCTTATGCTGACTTCCATATTTCTCCAACTATTTCCTCTATCTGGAAGGCACTTCCCAAGACTTGCTAAGGAAAAGAATCACCAAGGGAACTTTTAAAAAAAATGCCTGGGCTCCACTTCAGTAATTCTGATTCCACAAGACAGGATAGGACTCATGAGGTGGTGGGTGGTGGTCTTTTTAACAGATTTAGAAACCAAGAGATCCCAACCATCCCAGTCTTCTCAACACAAAAACTCACAAATCTCTCCTTTCCCACAAAACCCCAGCCAGAAGGGCGCATTCCTGTAGTGTTTGGTTTATGGTTTCTTTCAGCTCTCTAGTCAAGAATCAGATCTTGTTTCCAGTGTTCCCACCTCCTCCTGCAGGCCATGCACCTAGTACTAAGTGAGCAGTCAGTATTTGAAAGATAGTGTGGTATAGGGGGAACTTGGAGTCAGGATTAGATGTGACAGATATCAGGCTCTGAGCTTCTGTCTGGGAAACAAATTCAGAGAATGACATACAAATGTCTATGGTACACTTGGACGGACTTGGTGGCTCACGCCTGTAATCCCAGCACTTTGGGAGGCTGACGTGGGCGGATCATGAGGTCAGGAAATCAAGACCACCCTGGCCAACATGGTGAAACCCCATCTCTACTAAAATGCTAAAAATTAGCCAGGCATAGTGGCATGCACCTGAAGTCCCAGCTACTCGGGAGGCTGAGGTAGGGGAATCACTTGAACCCAGAAGGCGGAGGTTGCAGTGAGCCGAGATCATGCCACTGCACTCCAGTATGCGGACAGAGCAAGGCTCTGTCTCAAAAAAACAAAAACAAAAAGTATATGGTACACTTATGGTATGCAAACGGTATTTTCCAGTTAAGCATATTTTACTATGATCGCATTACACAGTATGTTGTTCAGCAACATTCATTCAGTATGCCTATGCTGTGCACCACTGTGTTTATTCACTGTTATTGGGCAAATTCCCAATTTATATTATGTTATCTGCCAACCAGGTCCCACACAACTGGGCAGACACATGCCTTTAACATTCATTAAAACGAACTCAATCTTCAGTTTCAATTCTGTTTCAATGCAGGTGTGGAAAGAAGGTTCCATATCTTGGGTAATCTGTGAAATCTAGACATAAATAGAATAACATTGGGAGAAAGTAAACTGCTTTTTTGTAGAATACCATTTACTTGTTAAGGAATAGAAGGTAAGTGTTTGAAAAGACAAAGTATATATCACTATGGTTTGGAAACTATTTTTAAAAACTGAATAATGCCCTAGAGAATAAAGAACTTGTAAAATTTTTAACTTGGCTCTCTAAAATCTGCTCATTTCTCACACCACCTATGCAGACTATGGTAGAAATGTGCCTTGTATTTTCATTAAAACCATCTGGCAGCTTTGAGGTCTAATTTCCCTTTGCTAAGACAGGTAACCATTCTGACGCTCTGTCTCCACAACTGTAGATTGGAGATATACCCACTGCTACACTTGAGTAGGTCTGTGCAAAGTTACGAAGGAACGTCACTGTACTCTTGCCCAGCACCTTGAGCAAGGCAAGCACATACCTCATCTTTTTCGTATATTCACAAGGAGGGTAAATGAATGGAGGAGGACCCTGAGACAAAGAGGTTAATTCACTAAGAAAAGTTGCACAGTCAAAGTCAATGAGTAGTGCTACATGAGGCTCAAATTCAGATCTTCCGATTCTAAATCCAGTGATCTTTCTATTATACCATGTTTTGTACAGTCCTATTATTCGTGGGTTGTTTCTTCATTTTACTTGTTATTTTGATCTTTACTCTGGTTTCTCCAGAATGTTAGGGAAGTTTCTCTGCATGTTTGGAAATTCAGGTTATAAGAAGACATCATGTCAGCTATTTACGTAACCAGCTTTCCCACCTTTCCACTAAACCAGTATTTTCTAGACAGTAAGGCACTATACAAATATGAGGTATCATTTTGTTTGATGAATGATGAATAGGCAAACATGGTTGTCTACAGTTCGTCTCACCACACCTGCAGGGCAGGTTTACCTACCCGATCATAAGGCACACAGAGGAGTAACTGGCCCTTACCCACCACCAAGGCTTGGAAACAGTGTAAACCACCAGGAGCTTTTCTCTCTCCCTCAATCTTCCACATGGCTCCTTGAATATCAAGCCTGGGGCCAGGAGAGGAGCAAGTACCTGTCATCATAGGAGGAGATCCTCTTGCCATCCATGACTCGTGAGGGTGTGAGGGAGAGCAGGCTGAGGGAATACAGCTTTTGCAGGAAGTGACTCTCTATTAAAAAAGAACATAATAGGGTTCTCCTCAAGGTGGAAACAGAGCCTACCCTGGGACACTGAAGACCAGGCCCAACTCACCTCTGACTTTGGAATCCTTACTGAAGCGCCACTGAGGCACAAAGACAGTTATGTCACGGTGGCCACGGTCCCAGAAGTACTGCACAGCAATGGCAATGCCCCGGCTGGAGAAGTAGTGCTGAAGGCCATGCCTGCAGTGGGAGGGGGTCGGCCAGAAGAGGGGCTTGGCACCCTGGCTACAATGCCAGCCCCTCAGGACATATCCTCCCTCCCCTAGGCCCTCAGCCCCACCAGGTACTCACACCATGGCCACGTTGCTGCCGTCAATGACAATATGGCGGAGGTCTGGCTGGCCAGGCACATTGGCAAGGCACAGTGTGAAAGGATCCTGCAGGGCCTCCTTGAAACGCTGTGTGCCAGTCACCAAGTTGCCCCCTCGGGCACCTCGTTTCCATTGAGGCCCCCGACCCCGTGCCATGCCCTGCTGCTTGTCTCCCCTGTCCCCACCATCTCCCCGGTCTCCCCAGTCACCCCGGTCTCCACAGTGCCATGGGGGTTCTGGTGCAGGCGGAGGGCTGGGCACCCTTGGAGGAGAGGCATTCCCATTGTGGAGCCGCTGGAGGAGGGAGGCTCCTCGGGACTGAGCTGCCCTGTGACAGGAGCCATGGGCACCGGGAGGCTCACGGTGGACACAGACCCCTCCTCCTCCTTGAGTTACCTCCTCCTTCCCCAGGGCCTTCCCTTTCAGGGGTGCTGACTCCCTTAACCCTCCACCCACTGACTGTGGCCTGAGGGCCACTTCTCTCTCCCAGGCCTCTTCCCCAGGCAATTCCTTCCACCCCAAATCCATCTCCCTGGGACCACCCTGTTTCCCTCCCTCCTTTTCCACAGCATAATTGTCTCCCCTTGCTCCCCTGGAATCTCTGGGTCCCACAGATCCAGTGTCCAGGGACTCCCTGCCGTCACTAGGGGGAGCTCTCTCTTCTTGGCACTGAGCACGGAGCAAGCCTGAGCTCCGCCTCTCCCAAGAAGCCAGCGCTCCTGGCCCCTGCCCACTGGACGCCTCCTGCACCAGACTCAGCAGCTCCTCCTGGACAGCCAGGGGCAACTGCAGCAGAGCCTCTCTATGGGCATCCCCCGGCGACTGCAGCAGGGCAGAGAAGTCTCTCAGCACTCCAGTACACTGAGAGGCTCCGGAAGATGGTCCTGGCGTGAAGTCCCAGCTCAGCCGCTCTGTCAGCTCTTCTACCCGGCTCTGAGCCATGACAAAAGCCTCAGTCAGGCCACTGATCATCAGTGTGCCGGGCGCCCTGGGCACCAGATGGGCTGATGTGCTCCAGGCCAGACAGTCAAGGAAGAAGCCCTGGGCTCCCAGAAAGATGCAGTGCAGTTTTGGCGGGTAATGGATTTCATCCTGCAGTTCTGGGCTGCAGAGGCCCTTCAGGTACTCCTGGTTGGGAGGAAGGGAAGGTCAGGAAAAGTAAACTGCTGGAATCCTAACTGGCCTGGGTCACCTCTCCTGGCTCCTTGCTCGCTCCTGAGCTCCAGGATGTCTGAAGTATCCACATGATGTTATTCCCATTTTAGAAATAAGGAAACTGAGACTCCTATCACAAAACTGAGCCATCCTGGAACCCCAGCCTAATCCCAAAGGAAGCAATGTGGCCCAGCCTCCCACCTCACAGTGCATTCCTTGGTGGGGCCAACTTGTTCAGCCAGATCTCTCTACTCTACCAGAGAGCACAGAATGATTTTTGCGAGCCTGGGCTATCACAGAAGAAATTAAGCTGAAACTGAAAACAAATATAGAGTTGGAAAGTCCCTCAAAACTCAGGGGCACTGAGGTTGCCAGTGAGACAACCAAGAAGTCGAGATCCTCCCCAGGCCCCTCCTCTTCCCCGCTCTCCTCCGCCCCGGGGGAAAGCGTCCTTGGTGCCTGGAGGGATGGGGGAGAGAAGGAGTTCACCTTGGCTCTGCTGGCGTTTTCCTTAGGGCCCTCCAGCTGCAGCCAGATGTGGGGGTTGTCCGGACAGTCCTTCGGAAGGACACTCACCCCCACGCTGAAGATGCGCTCCACATGAGGCTGCTGTTCCCGAACCTTGTTCTCAGCCTCCGCAGACACCGCAAAGCGGTCTGGGGACGCGGGGCGGGCCTCCCAGGTAGGCATGGCTGCTGCCCCCAGCTCTGGAAGGGAAGAAGGCAGCTCAGAGCCTCACTGCACCCTCAATCCAAATCCTGGTTTATGGGACTACACCAGCTATCAACAGGTCGCACCTAGTTAAGGCTCTGGTAAACAGCCCCAGTAGGTGACAAGCATCTGAGTCCACTGGAGGTAGGGAGGGAGTATGTCATGCAGGCCTTTCCGGAGAGGAAGTCCCGGTAAACAAGGCTGACTATCGAGGGTGGGCGTCTGGGCTTTGGAAAACGAAGACCACAGTCCTGAGCAAGAAGGGTGGGGGCTTCAGCTCTCGGCCTGGAGGCCAGAAGGAGTCTCCTGGGGGACTCTGCAGCTTCTTAAAGACGAATCCTCAGCAGGGGTTTGAACTAGGCTGTCCTCTGGGGGCCCTGGTCTGCCATTTCCAAGGTTCAAGCCACTCCCACCCCTCCCCCAGCCGTCCGCTGCCCCTCTCCGTCACGCCACGAGCACCGCCCAGGGCCCAGGGGCCGGGCCGGGCCGGGCCCGCCCACCGCGGACTGGGACAGCCACCCCGGGCCAGGCCTACTCCGCACCATGGCCCCCGCTCCCCTCTCCCGGGCGCGGGGGAGGGGCGCGCCTACCGCCTCCGCCGCCCGCGCCGGCCTCGGGTCCTCTCAGCGCCCGCCGGGCCCCCGCCTTGCCCGCGCCCCTAGCCCAGGGGACAAGGGCAGGGGGCCCGAATCTGGGCGGTCCTTCCCGGGTTCCTCACCCAACGGGGACCTCTCTTGTCCACATCGCACGCAAACTGTTTCTTGAGTCACTTCCTGGCCTGGGGCGGAGTCAGCCCAGCTCCTCCCGGCTGCGCGCCCTCCTCCCAACCCCGCCGCCGCGCCCAGCGGCCCCGACGGGCCCGCTCGGCCTAGTCCCCTCGGCGGCTCCAGGGCTCGCTCCTTGCGCTTCTCCACTCTGTCTCCCCGCCCTCGGGGTCCTCGCGCATTCTGCGCAGTTATTTCTCGGAAAGTGAAACCATGCGTTGAAAGTTGTTTCCCGCGAATAAAGATGTGGCCAACCAAAGAGGCAGCGTGACTGGCTCCACTGGTGCTCTAGGCCCAAGCACTTTCCACCAAAGCAATCGTGGCGGAGGCGAGGGAGGGGGGTACCCCGGGTGGAGTACCCCTTTCTTCCAACAAATGGAAAGATGCCACGAAGAAGGGCCGTTGATTTGTGGGGGATTTTGAAGAGAGGAGCAATAGGAGGAGGGGGTTGAGGGGCTGCCTCTGGCATATGCACACACTCACACATTCTCTCACACCCCTCACACACACACATACCGTGTTCTCCATCCCCCCAGGTCCAGCCTTCAGTGCAGTCCCGTCCAGCAGGGCTGCCCTGAAGCTCTGGCTGCAGCCCTCCCGTCCAGCGGGCGGGCGGCTTCATCCCTCCTCTCTCTCCCAAAGCCCAACTGCTGTCACTGCATGCTCTGCCAAGGAGGAGGGAACTGCAGTGACAGCAGGAGTAAGAGTGGGAGGCAGGACAGAGCCGGGACACAGGTATGGAGAGGGGGTGTAGCGAGCCTAGAGAGGGCAGACGATCAGGGTGCTGGCAGTGAGAGTCCAGGGAGAGGAGCGGAAACAGAAGAGGAGCAGAAGACAGGGGCACTTGTGGGTTGCAGAGCCCCTCAGCCATGTTGGGTGCCAAGCCACACTGGCTACCACGTCCCCTACACAGTCCCGGGCTTCCCTTGGCTCTGGTGCTTCTGGCCCTGGGGGCCGGGTGGGCCCAGGAGGGGTCAGAGCCCGTCCTGCTGGAGGGGGAGTGCCTTGTGGTCTGTGAGCCTGGGCGAGCTGCCGCAGGGGGGCCCGGAGGAGCAGCCCTGGGAGAGGCGCCCCCTGGGCGAGTGGCATTTGCTGCGGTCCGAAGCCACCACCATGAGCCAGCAGGGGAAACCGGCAATGGCACCAGTGGGGCCATCTACTTCGACCAGGTAATCCCCCTACCCCTGTCCATGGGACCTGGAAGGACCCTGCAAGGACCTGGAAGCAACTGTCCAAGCCCACTTTGCTGTCCCTGAGGCTTTAAGAAAACAGCTTCCTACATCTTTCCCTAATCTGGCCTGTTGCTGCTCCACCCCACCAATGATTTCCCCTCCCTCCACCCATATGCAGCCCCTCCTTGCCCCTTCTCACCATTTCTTTTGAATCTGTTCATGCCTATTAACTCCTACTTGCCACTCCTTCTATTCATTACTCACTGCCCCTGCCCAGTCCCCATGGTACCCCTGAGCCATGGGCATTTCCTGAGCCCCACTCAGCAGGCTCTGCTTCCCCCAGGTCCTGGTGAACGAGGGCGGTGGCTTTGACCGGGCCTCCGGCTCCTTCGTAGCCCCTGTCCGGGGTGTCTACAGCTTCCGGTTCCATGTGGTGAAGGTGTACAACCGCCAAACTGTCCAGGTGACCTCAGCACTGGCCCCCATCCCTGGCTCAGGAGGGGAGGGAGGGAGAAGAAGTGGAGCCCAGCTGACCTCCAGGTGGACCCTCCACTGACCTGTGTCGTGGAGTCCAGGACCAGGGGAGGAATGGGCCTGCCTTGCATTGAGTGTGGAGGATGTGCAGAGTCCAATGCTGGCCACCCCTCAGCCCTCCCAGGAGAGCCCATTAAGACCCAGCTTCCCAAGAGGAAGCCCCTGGGAAAGTGGGGGTCCTGAGCTAAGGACTGGGGAATGGAGGCTAACTGGGCTCCCCTCCCCAGGTGAGCCTGATGCTGAACACGTGGCCTGTCATCTCAGCCTTTGCCAATGACCCTGATGTGACCCGGGAGGCAGCCACCAGCTCTGTGCTACTGCCCTTGGACCCCGGGGACCGAGTGTCTCTGCGCCTGCGTCGGGGAAATCTACTGGGTGGCTGGAAATACTCAAGTTTCTCTGGCTTCCTCATCTTCCCTCTCTGAGGACCCAAGCCTTTCAAGCACAAGAATCCAGCCCCTGACGACTTTCTTCTGCCCTCTCTTGCCCCAGAAACAGCAGAGGCAGGAGAGAGACTCCCCTCTGGCTGCCTATATCCCACCTCCTTGCATGGGACCCTGTGCCAAACACCCAAGTTTAAGAAAAGAGTAGAGCTGTGGCATCTCCAGACCTGGTCTTTCCACCCACCCACCACCAGTTCCCCTCCCAGCCACCTGCTGCATCTGTTCCTGCCTGCAGCCCTAGAATCAGGGCAAGGTTTGGCAAGAAGGAAGATCTGCACTACTTTGCAGCCTCTGCTCCTCCTGTTCCCCCACACCAGCTTCCTGCTCAATGCTGTTCAGGAACAGGTGGCACAGGTGAGCCTCACAGGCCCCCACAGGAGCCCAGATGGACAAGCCTCAGCATACCCTGCAGGCTTCTTCCTGTGAGGAATGCCAGCATCACAGATCTCAGCCAGCACCGTCAGAAGCTGAACCAGCACCGTATGGGCTAGGGTGGAAAGCTCAGCCACAGGCAGAAGTGTGGGAAGGGCCTGGAGTCTGTAGCTGGTGAGGAAGGAAGGAGGGTGTATTGTCTAGTCTGAACATGGTACACATTCTGCATGTATAGCAGAGCAGCCAGCAGGCAGCAATCCTGGCTGTCCTTCTATGCCAGATCCCAGATAGACTCTGGCCCTTACCTCCCCACCTGAGACTAGGGTGAGTGTGTTTGCTCTGGCTGAGAGCAGAGCTGAGAGCAGGTATACAGAGCTGGAGGTGGACCACGGAAAACATCGATAACCATGCATCCTCTTGCTTGGCCACCTCCTGAAACTGCTCCACCTTTGAAGTTTGAACGTCAGTCCCTCCACACTCTGACTGCTGCCTCCCTCCTCCCAGCTCTCTCACTGAGTTATCTTCACTGTACCTGTTCCAGCCTATCTACACCATCTCTCTTTCTCCTGATCTGTGCTGTCTTATTCTCCTCCTTAGGCCTCCTATTGCCTGGGATTCCATGATTCATTCCTTCAGACCCTCTCCTGCCAGTATGCTAAACTCTCCCTCTCTCTTTCTTATCCTGCTGTCCCATTGGCCCAGCCTGGATGAATCTATCAATAAAACAACTAGAGAATGGTGGTCAGTGAGACACTATAGGATCACTAAAGAGAAGATGCCTCTGGAGTTTGGATCGGGTGTTACAGGTACAAGTAGGTATGTTGCAGAGGAAAATAAATATTAAACTGTATACTAAAGTTACATTTTAAAAGTTGAATAATGTTTGAGTTAAATAGGAAATACCAAGGTGAATTTGTGGTTTTAAAAAGAAATAACTTTTTGAACTGTCACTAACACTAAAAACAACATCAGGAACAATCTGATATCCATTCTTAGAAACTGGATCTTTGCTTCAAATAGTAGTCACCATTAAAAAAAAAATACCAAAAAAACCTCAGGTTCCTTGAAGAATAGCTGCACACCTTAAGTAACTCCAGGCCCAGAAAATGTTGTTGATGACAGAAAGCAAAGATACTTTTTAAATGTATAAAGTAAAGCTGAAAGGCAAAGGAATCAATTTAAAGAGGCTCCCACTTAACATGCTTTGACAATTTGATTATCAAAAGGAAAATAATATAGCTAATTGGAACAAGGTGAATTTTTTAAAATCCATGCATCTATAATGATATTCGAAAAGAAAGAAGTCACTATAAAGTGTGCCAAAAGGTAGTTAATATACTAAGTGAAAAAGAGTGAACGTAATAGGCTATTTTTAGTGAGTCGCGATAAGTAGAACATAAATATAGTAGACATTTTGTCTATTTGCACGGTACGTTTGTTTTTCTTTATCTGTGTAAGTAGGGAGGGGTGAGTACAGAGAACTGTGAGTAATTCCAGGAAGATCTGGCACTGTGCCAAGAATGAAAGATACTGATGGAACTATTTGGGCATATTTTGCAACTAAGAAGAAAAACAGTCCAATGGTGTGTTATAAGACAATGGATTAGTCAAATGTCCAAGACAACTGTTCACTGCTCAGGCTTGATTGTTCATCTCCTGGAAAATGGATCCTCTGTATTACCTCACTTATTATAATGAGATATTAATTAGGCAAAATGATTAAGAGTAGGTTTGGCTGTAACAGTAAAACCCAAAATAAGAATAGCTTAAACAAAATAGGAATTCATTTCTGTCTCACATAGAAGAATCTGTAAATAAGGGTCCAGGGATGGATGGCAGCCTTATGATCATTTGAAAGCCCAGTCTCCTGTCTTGCTGTTCTACCATCCTTAGCTTGCCACCTCATGACCCAAGATGGCTCCCTGAGCTCCAGCCATTACATCAGCCTAACAGGAAGGAGGAAGGAAGAAACAGCACATCTCTTTCCTTGAAAGAAGCTTTCTGAAAGGTGCACCAATATGTCTGATTGTGTCTCAGTAGAATTTAGTCACCTGGGCTCACCAAGCCAAGGAGAGAGGCTAGGAGCTATAGGGTTTATTCCAGGCAGCCATGTCCAGCTAGAAGTTGGGAGTTTTATAATAAAGAAGAAGGGGAGATTAGCTATCGGGGAAGACAACTGGAAGTTGTTTTTTGTTGTTGTTTTTTGAGACAGAGTCACGGTCCGTCGACCAGGCCGGAGTGCAGTGGCGCAATTTCAGCTCACTGCAACCTCCGCCTCCTGGGTTCAAGCAATTCTCATGCCTCAGCCTCCCGAGTAGCTGGGATTACAGTTGTGCACCACCAGGCCCAGCTAATTTTTTGTATTTTCAGTGAAGATGGGGTTTTGCCGTGTTGTCCAGGCTGGTCTGAAACTCCTGGCGTCACGTGATCCAATTACAGGTGTGAGCTACCACATCCGGCCACAAAGTACTACCAACTTGATGGCTTAAAGCAACTATTTATTATCTCACAGTTTCTGTGGGTCAGAAGTCCAACAAAACGTGACTGGCTTCTCTGCTCAGGGTTTCACAAGGTCAAAAGCAAAGTATAAGCAGGGCGGCCTTCCTTACTGGAGGGGAGGAATTCACTTCTAAACTCATTTCAAGTTCAGTTCCTTATGGTTGTAGGACTTAGGTCCTGGCCCCCTCCATTCTCAAGCCAACAATGGCAAGCCAAGTGCTTCTCACACTTTGAATCTCTCAGGCCTACCTTTCTACCATCTCTCTCTGACTTCAGTGGAGAAAGTTCTCTGAGTTAAAGGACTCATGTGATTAGATTGGGCCCACCCAGATAAGCCAGGATAATCTCCCTATTTTAAGGTCCACAACCTGAATTGCATATTTGAAGTTTGTTTTGCCATGTAATATAACATATTCACAGGTTCCAGGGATTAAGGTATGGACATCTTCGGGACATCTGCATATCAGAGTCACTAAACTTAAAGATGGCTTCATGTAGAGAAAAGGCATCCAGCTACAATACCACTGCATGGAAAACGTATGGGCTTGAAAATTTCCCATGATATATACAAGATAAATATCAGTTCAGATTTTAATCATTTTAGAAGGTGAACCAGTTCCCAGGTCCCAACCAAAAATTCATTGATTAATAATCCAAAACTTGATCTACATTGAGATATATTTTTATTTTAGATATCTAAATTCAAAAATTGGCCTGAGCTGAGATAATGTCTCTCAGGTCTACAGCCCATTTTTATAGTGGATTTAAGCATAGGTGTCATAAACTTTATAATCCTTATAATGGTGTGTGTCCTTTATCAAAATGAAGCTTTTAGAGAAACTGATGTATTCGTGATTCAATTGAAATATTTAGGAGGATTTGATTGTTTTTAATCAATGTTTAAATAATTTTACTTGTTAAATGTAGAGATTTTGATTTGCTGGTTATAGAAATTGTGTTCAAATATTTAGACCATTTTTCCTTCAGTAGGTTTGTGAATAGATTAAACAATAAATAAAGCACAGATGATGGTGAGTGATCCTCTTCAGGTACCAAAAGCTCCTCAGACTTTAAGGATCCTAACAGCAGACTCCAACTGTTCACCTTCCCTATGCCCATGGCCTGGCAGCTGATTCCTACAGAGAAGTCCCACTGATGAAGGATTCAGTGTGGATCTAAATCCATGGCCTCCAGCCACATCTGGTCCTCAATCCTGTAATCCTCAGTCCTCTGACTCTTTACTGGTTTCCTTTGCCTGCTGCCCCTCATCTTCCCCAGAATCCACTGCCGACTTCTGTTCACTCTTTAAGCCTTTTGCTCCACCGGTTCTGCTCCTATGGCCCATGGTCAGCGGCAGACAGCCTCACCTTCCACCTCACTGAGCACACAGAAACTCCAAGCAGGACCCTGCCCACCACCACACTTATAAACTTACCTTCCTCCCCATCTCTGCTTCCTGCTGTCTGTCTTGATGGGAGACGAGTTCTTCCTCCTGTCAAGGCTGCTATCCTTATCCACCAGTCTTGGATCCAGTTTCCTGCAGACATCCTGCCATCTATCACTCTCCTTTCTACTCACTCCTTCCCTTCAGCAGCTTTGAAGTTTAAGAGCTCAAGTCTCTTAAATCTAAAAGAGAAGATAGGCATGGAGTAGTTGTAGATATAGATATAGCTATCCTCAGCTCTGTCTATTCCTGCAGGTAGTTAGCATCAGCTCACCTCCTCTTTAAAGCAAAATATCGTAGTACAAATGCCTACACTCTCCATTACACCTCGTAATCACCAGTGAACTATGGCCTCCACTGCTCCACCTGAACTGCCCTCAGCCATGGCTCATAACTTCCGTGTTACTGAAGCTGGTGAACACTTCCTAGTCCTCCTGTCACTCAGACTCTCCCTAACTTGACCCTGCTGACTGTGCCCTCCTTCTAAAAGCACTCTCTGCCCTGACTTCCCTGACTCTGCGCTCCCTGGTTTTCCTCCACCTCTCTTCCTGTACCCTGCGTCTCTTAAGTGTTGATTTTCGTCAAGGTTCTGCCCTAGCATTCTTTGGTCCTAAGACCCTCTCAAAGGCACCAATGACCATCCATATGCTGACAATGTTGTCTCTATCCAGAATCACCCTTTCTAAAACTCAGACTCATACATTGAATATTCCACTTTCAAGTCTACATGCTGAAACCTGAAATTATAGTCTTTCCTCTCTTAATCTGTTCTCTTGCCCTTGTTTTCTATATCTGTAAATGGAACTTCCCTGTTGCCCAAACCAAAAATGGCCATTATCCTTAATTCTTCCCTTTCCCATAACCCTCATATCTAGTCATTCACATCCATCGGTTCCATTCATTTCTTTCCATCTGCCCTGGCTCAAACTAACAATCTTTTAGATAGATTTCTATGAAAGCCTCTTAACTGGTCCTGTGGTCTCTGGTTTTTCCCTTCAATTCTCCAGACTGCGGTTGCCTTAGTGATCTGTGTAAATAAACCTCACTGCCTAAGGCCCTTTGGGGGCTCCAGGTGGGCCTCAGAATGAAATCCATATTTCTTACCATGGTTTTCGAGATCCCTCACAATTCATCTCCCAGAATCTCCACTACTTCATTTTTCACCATCTACAAGAATGTACAGACCTAAGAAATAGTGCCACTTATTAGCTGAGGGGAAACGGCCCTCTTTGGAAAAAGAGAGTACAGCGTTTCAGTCAAAACTTATCAGGACCAAGAGAATAGTTTTTGGACTCAATGGAGGTAAATCCTTTTTAGTTTATGAATCATCTTACTGAGAACCAAACTTTAATGGAGGCATCTTAGCAGATACTATATAGTGCATTAATAACAGATGGAGAGACCATAAATTAAGCGAGGGGAGACTAATTCTAACAACAAAATGAATGTACTTGTGTCAGAGGCAGTAGTATAGTGGTTAAGATGGTAAGCACAGAGGCCAGGCACGGTGGCTCTTGCCTGTAATCTCAGCACTTTGGGAGACCGAGGCAGGTGGATCACCTGAGGTCAGGAGTTGGAGACCAGCCTGGCCAACGTGGTGAAACCCCGTCTCTACTACAAGTACAAAAATTAGCCAGGCATGGTGGCGGGTGCCTATAATCCCAGCTATACAGGAGGCTGAGGCATGAGAATCGCTTGAACCCGGGAGGCGGAGGTTGCAGAGAGCCGAGATTGCACCGAGCCGAGATTGCACCATTGCACTCCAGCCTGGGCAACACGAGCAAAACTCTGTTGCAAAAAAAAAAAAAAGAAAAGAAAAAAGAAAGAAAAAGAAAAGAAAAAGATGGTCAGCACAGGGGTCAGTGCTCAAATCCAGCCTCTCAGTGGGTACATGACTTTCAGTGAGTTACTTCACCTCTCCGCGCCTCATTTTCTTCATCTATAAAATGGAGATATTAATTGTACGCACCCCACAGGGTTGGAAAGCATTTAGAACAGTACCCAACACAAAGCAAGTACTCAGTATATGTAAGTTACTGTTACCAGATGACTTAGTAAACAAGTTAAAACTTGGGCCTGTCCCAGGGATTCTTGGATAATCTTTTAAAAGCAGGTAGGATTTTTGATTTATTGTAGCCATTTACTTGTTACAAGGATTTTGTCTTCCAAGTGTGTTCACTTTCATTCATGAATGCAGGGACTTAGTAAATAGTTGCTAGGAAAGCATGGTATTGCAAGTCTTAGGTGGTCCCAACCTCACCAGATAGTTTATGTAAGTTTTAACAAGGGCACGAGATAGGGATATTCTTTATTTTTATTGTTTGCTTATGTCATGGGATTGTCTGGATACTGGCAACTTTGTAATTTCTCTGTTAGAGACTTAGGGAAGCCCTCCTGCCAGGGCCCAAATAAGAAGGAATAATTGTGATGGTGTAAACCAGAGAGGCACTGACTGGTTGCCTAGAGTATCCGCGGTTCTTTACTATGGACAAAACTCTTTAATTCACCCCTCCAAAAATAGGAGGAATCTCAAACTTCTGTTCAGACCTGGTAGATTGTTGAACAGCAAAGAAGAAAAACCTCACTGTCAGAGGACTTAGAAGTCAGTGTGAGTAAAATCTGATTCTTGCTTAAAGTCATCTAGAGTAAAAAATAATAGGATTTTGCCAAGCCACCTTTCCAGTCAGCCTTCCACTTTAGAGTGCTGACCCTTTCCATTGCTGACCTGTGCTGCAAACAATTTATTACTTTTGACGAAGAGGCTCAGGCAAGACCTCTCTGACTGTCATGCGGGCTGAAGACCCCAGGCCCCTGCACCATGGGCTCCTAAGCCGCATTGTTTCCCTTACCACCCTGAACTGTATTTGTTTGTTGGATTGTCTGTCTCCCTCACCTGACTGTAGGCTGCAAAGAGGCAGAGACCGTGTCACTCCTGTTACCTGTTAGTCATCCCACACCTAGGCGGAGCCTGGCATATAGTAGGTGTCCTATAAATACTGAATGAACAATGGTATGCACATGAGCTGGGGAGTTCCCAGGAAGGATGGTCCCCACCCCCACCCATATGCCAGCCAGTGCTGAGCAGAACCCTGGGCAGGTGAGAAAGGCAGCAAAAAGCAAAGGTCTAAAGTCACGAAGCTTGGCCTGGGTTAAGAAGGTCTCTGACCCTAAGGGGAGAGAACAGCAAGAGTTCCCAGGGCAGCAAGAAGAGTAATGTTAGCTACATGTGATGAATGCTATTCCATCCCAAGCCATACTGGCCTCTTCAAACAGATTATTTCATGTAATCCTTGAACCATCTCATAAATTAGGAATTGTTAACCCTGTGTTTTACAGATGGGGAAACCGAGGCCCCAGGAAACAGCCTGCCATAGGTAGCAAATATAGACACAAACCTAGGTCTATAATTTTTCCAGTACAATGAAGCTGGTTCAGCACTAACACCATTCTCTCATCATTCATTTATAAATTTTCTTTTCTTCTTTTCTTTTCTTTTTGAGACGGAGTCTCACTGGAGTGCAGTGGTGTGATCTTGGCTCACTGCAACCTCTGCCTCCTGGGTTCAAGCAATTCTCCTGCCTCAGCCTCCTGAGTAGCTGGGATTACAGACTCCTGACACCACACCCAGCTGATTTTTGTATTTTTAGTAGAGACGGATTTCGCCACATTGGCCAGGCTGGTCTTGAACTCCTGGCCTCAAGCGATCCACCCGCCTTGGCCTCCCAAAGTGCTGGGATAACAGGCATGAGCCACCATGCCCTGCCTCATCATTTGTTTTCATTCCCACCCTGTCCACTTCCAAGATATTAACTGCCAAGGGTACCAGCTTGGAAAGCCAAAGGTGGGACTCTCCTATCCCTGTCATGAACCAGCTATGGGGCCTTAAGCATATCACACTCTGGGCCCTGGTCTCCTCATCTGTACAGTAGGAGCTTAGGGCAGATGATCTGGAAAAGGTACTATCCAGGTCTTCAAATCTGCAAGTGTATCTGGGAAACATATAGCAGCCATACCCCATGTCTGCCCCACACTCCTCATTCCCACAATTGAGACTGAAGCTAAACAAAACACTGGACATCAGCTCCAGTTTGATTCGTTTATTGACAAATCAAATGAAAAAAAAAAAATTCACTTAAAAGAAGGGTATGTGATCACAAATGTAGCTAACAGGGGAAACGCATACAGCACCAGGGGGGAGAGTGAGGCTGGACATACCATCACAGAGAGGAGGAAGAGAAAGAATGGCACGGAGAGCAGAGGAAAGAGAGCACCTGCCAAAAATCCCACACTTTCCACTTCTCAGCTATCACTCAATCATTTTTCTGGACAGGGTTAACAGCTAGAAATGGTTTAAGGGCAACATCCAGGTAGTTTGTCTGGAAGATCAGGGAGATGAGGAGTTGCAGGGAATGTGGGTGTAGGATTTTGAAGGATTCTCCAGCTTGAACCTATTGCCAGAACCCTTTTCATGGTGAACTGGGAGTCAGGAAGCTTAGTCCTGGTCTCAGCTCAGCCATGAACTCGCTGTGTGACTTTGGGTGAATCACTTTCCCTCTGTGATCCTCTTTTCTCTGCTGTAAAACAATCAAGTCGGCAAGTTAGGTACTGGCTCTAGCACTCTGCAACGCCAAGCCTTCTGGCAACCTGGGCTAGACCAGGAGACTGGCTCAGCTTCCAGAGAAATGAAACTACTCAGAAGGCCAGCCAGAGTGACGTGGCACTGGCCTTCACCTGGAGCCCACTTCTTGGCAGTGGCAGCAATTCAGAGGGTGAGTGTACACGCACACACCTGCGAGGAACTCACTCTCACTGCAAGGGTGCTCTCTGCAAAGAATGGCTGTGAGGGAGCCTGGGTTTTGCTCTACACAGAAGGCAGGTCCACATGACTGGGGGGTGATACAGATGAAGCAATCACACAATCTGTAGGGTCTGGGATGCAGGATACAGTGGAGGTGGAAGGAGCAGAGGGCTGTGGGCTTTGGGATGGGGTTGGGAGAGGTTGGGAGGTAGAGCCACGCCAGCACTTCGCCGTGTGCCACTCTCGTTGCAGACGCCCTCCTCGCTTAAAACAGAGGCCGGGGCCCCTGGGTCTAACAGAAGCAGCTCTTCAGGTAGAGTTGCCACACTTGGCATCAATATCCTTGATTCCTGTGGGGTCAACACCATCAAAGCAGGGGTCAGGAATTGTCTCCATTGGCTGGAGTCAAATGAGGTAGGCTAACTCATTTCCCTCTTGCCCTTCCCGTGCTGACAAGCTGGTGGCTTGTGGCTGGCCATTCTCCCACTCCATGACACTGTCCTCGAGGCCTGGGAGGATGGCCAGCCCTGCCCTAACAGCTGAGCAGGCCACACCTGGCTTAAGAAAGCTGTGAGGCTAGGAGACAGTGGCCTCCCCAGGTTTATGTCAGCTGTGACAGCTTTAAGGGCAAAGGGTCCCCAAAAGAACAGGTTGGAGGGAGGAGCCCTCATTTGGGGTTTCTGTATGGGAAAGGGCTGTGGTTCCAATTCTGAGGCCCACAGTCACAGTTTCATGGCCAAGATAGTAAGATTCTGGGGTGAGTGTGTGTGCACACCACCACACACCGACATGTGAAGGGGAAAGAGGATACTTGGGGAAAAGACACGGAGCCTGGTATATCCTAGAGGAGCACTCTACTTCCCAGTGTAAAACTGCCAGGGACTCATATCTGACAGCCTTTGGCAAATTCTCCAAGTACCCCAAACTAGGGATGTTTCCATGGGGATGCTGGTCCCTAGTTCAAGGCAATTCAGCAAAGCTTTACGAAGCAACTTCTCTACAAAAGGCACAACTGAGGGCTCCCAGTGGACTGAGAGAACTGCTGGGACGGGGGAGGCCTAGCAGCAGAAACCCAGGGCCCTGGGGCAGGGGCACCCCCACTGTTCCCACTCACTGCTCCAAGACCTTGAAGGACAGGGGGGTGCCACTCTTGGCAAAGGCCTTCATCAGACTGCTGGGATAGATGCACC